TTCAACAAGAAATTTTATTGACGCGTGTTTTTCCAATATTTTTTCATTGATTTTTATAATATCATTTAATATTTTTTCAACTTCAAAGAATTTTGACGCGTGGTCTTTCATAAATGTCTTTTGATTTAGATGAGAATTTATTAGAATAATAATTTGAAAATTTTAATATATATATATTAATTAAATACTTACATATATCATCCGCTGAACTCGACTAGAATCTTCATCTGTAATAAGTTTTTTACCGGTAAACTGCTCAGATTTTGTGCTACAAAATTATAATCCTCCAATAAGCCTTCATATATACAAACTATGAATGAAATAACGCGCGTGCATACTTTAAATCTTTAGATGCTGATCTCATTGTATTTAACATAGACTTAAGAAATACTTTCGGTGGTGTTGTCATTAATGGATCCTAAATACAACATAAAAATAATATACTAATTAGCATATCATTTTTGGGACTGGGACATTTTGGTAATACAAACCCCTTTCAACGCGAAACTAAAAGGAAATAAACAACATAAGAATTCTTTTTTTTTTTTTTAATCCTTTTACGCGGTAGTTATTCTTTTTACTCACTTCATTTCATCTTTAGTCCCTGCCTTGGGCTTAAACTCTTCCAAGAGTTTCCGATATTCAGCTTCAGAGTTCATAAAACGCCTACAATTCTCGCGAAAAACCTGTTTCATATAAATCTTATTCTTTTTTTCACTTATTTCATCTTTAACAGATCGAATTTGTGACTCTATAATAGTGACAGGTTTAGTGTAAATTAATCAAGTGAATAAGTGAAAATTTTTAATCATCATTAAAGAAAATTTCATACGTTACCAACGTCCGCAATACGTGAAATCAAATGAGTTATTTGTTGTTCTGTTTCTTGAACAATTTCATTAGTTTGTGCAAATTTTTTTTCAAGTTTTAATTTTCGTTGCGCGTAATTCTCTTCTGTAGAAGTGGATCCAGGTGATAATGTTCCTTTATTACGTTTTGTCTGTTTTGTCTGATGAGGTTTCTTAATTCGATTCTGGTTGCTATGTATATTCGTGTAAAATTACGATTCAATTATAATATTCTTTAATAACTTTAAGATATTCAATTATAATATTCTTTAATAACTTTAAGATATTTAATTTAATTTACTTTGCCAATGACTTCCGAATTCGATCAGCCTCCCTGAGTAAATTATATTAATTTTTATTAATTACAAGTAAATCTATCAAGATACATTCGAAAAATTTCGTACTTAAAAGATTTCACGTGTTGCATTAAAAATTTGAGGATAGGAACAAACTCATTCCTACAAATTCTATAAGGAAAACGCGTTTAAATGTTGCTAGTTCACGAAAGAAAACTTGTAAAAAATATAAAGGCGCGAAAAATGCCATTCGCACTTTTGTATGTCTTCCTTTGTTAATTCTTGCTCTGTCACTTCATCGAGTAAAGAAGCACCCCGTCCATGCCTATATCCAAGTTCGTTTGTCAGCCAAAGCAAAACAGACTCTGCTAACACCGACGCGTCACTTTCTACTTGTTTTTGTTTGTCTTTGGAATAAATGGAGCGATACTTTGAATTGTACAAACGATTATTATTATGCATATCTTTTTTTGTAAATTTTAAGTTACTAGGTTACGGATGTCAACATGGCAAGAAAACTTATAGTCGTACGAAACATATTCACGTGTCAATCTAATAAATTTATAAAATTTAATTATTACTGTACTATGTAAACCTAAAATTTTATGTATAACTTATTTAACTTTATTTAGCAGTCTTAATTTTTCAAGTTAAAAAAATAAAAAAAAAAAAGTCTAAGATAATTTTGCGGCCTGTGAAATAAAAAAGAAATTTAAAAATGGGAATACAAACTTGCGAATGGAAAATTTATTATGGACTTACTTTCTCATATAGTGATTCCACCACATTTCCCATCTGCTTAAGAGTTTCTAATGCTGCTTCGTATGTTTTCTAAATAAAGAAACAATGTTAATGTTATTGAAATAAATAGTTTATAAGAAAATTATAAAGACAATACATCTTGAGGTGGTTCATCAAATACGATTAAACATCCTGCACCCTGATCCAAAATTCCGTGAAATACTTTATCTAAAATCATTTGTGATAATTTTGTTTCGACATGAACTGTAGGCAATTTAACCATTTCTGCAACATGTGAAATTTCAACCCTTGAAAATGGTTCTATTATGCGAACCAAATTTTGCTCAAGTAAAGTGTCGTAAAGTGCGGCGAGATGAGATCGGATAATCGGGTCATTTTCCAATTCTTTTGTCAGAAAAATTTCTTATTAAAAAACAAATTCGAAAAATAAGATTTCAAAAAAAATTGGAAAATAACATTATACCATCGCTATAAGTTTTTAATGCAGTTTCAAATTCATTAAGCGAACGATTTTGATGTGCGGTTGCCACGGCTTTCATTGCATCAACTTCGCGCCCCGCGTAACGTAATGCAAGTTTGCCATTAATAATTGCATATACATCTTCAGACTATTTAACCACAAGATATATCAATTAGAAGAATTGTAAAGTTGATAATGTTCTAAATTAAAGTAATTATTACATACCAAATTCAACATAATTTTACAAAGTAACATATATTTAAGAGCCAAGATAGCTCTAGGGTCATCTTGTGATGAATATCCTTCAAGAGTTTCGTAAAAATACGAATAACTACGAAGAATACATGAAAAGATTTACCCACTATTATTACAACACAAATTAACATAATTAAAAGGGTAACATACGCAGTCTTGTAGTCCTTATCTTCAGCATGTAAAATTCCAGACTGCATATCAAGTGCAGCCTGGAGAAGAGGTGGACAATAAATAGCATTAGCAGACGTTCTGGCGGATGTCAAAGCAGCCTTTAAAATAAATTATGAATGTGAATTACAAAATAAATAAGAATATAAAGAACTTAGTTAAGATTTGTTACATGCTTTAAAGTTTTCTGATAGATTTCAAATATTATATATGTATATTTTTACCCTGGATTTTGGCAAATTCCGTAACGCATGACAAACTCTACTTTCCAATAATTGAACTTCAACCAAAACCATTTTATCATCTAGACGTCTTAATTCTTTTAAAAGGGAATTGATAAGGGTTAAAGCATCATGATACATTTTATTGTCAAGATACCTAAAGCAAAATATAAATTGTTATGTATAAGGAATTAGTATAAGGGATTAGTACTAATTCAGAAAGTAACATAAAATACACACAAGGCAACTAGTCGAGTTTCCAAAGATTGTTTTAAAAAAATTCGTTTCTCCTGCACGCTCCAATCAATTGTTTCCTTACAGATTTCAATTTGAAGCGGTAATGTATCGGGAATTTCAGAGAAAAGATCAATCAATGTCTTTACTAAAAGTTTGGTAGAAAATGATTGCTGATTTTGATTATTTTATATGATTGATAACAAGTTCGCAAAAAAAAAAAAAAAAAAAACGTATAGTACCGATTTTTGCAGTTTTAGCCCTTGCAATAGATGCCATAAAAGAACGTGAAGAACGAATCAAGTTCGATAGTTCATGGGGCTTCCTAATGGAAAAAGAATTATAAGATAAAGCTATTCTTCTAAGGGCATTCATTATATGTTAAAGAATAGCTAACCTCTGGTCACGATAAATTTCACCGAGTTTGATAAGAGCTTGCTCTTGCTCTCGAATTAGGTTTTCGTCGTCGCCTAAACCAAATATAATAAGCAACTGTTCTCTCCAAAGCTTAAAAAACCGCTGAAGAAAAGTATTAAAGAATTTTAATAATAAATAACATACCAGCATTTTTGGATAAAATGTATAATAATTTTTCTGTTTCGGCCATTATTACGAAAAAAGTTGAATAGTAATTTTATCACGATCTCGTTTTGAAAAATACAGTAAACCCTCTCTATAATCCCACATAACTTTAGGGATTATAGCGAAATTACCTCTATATAATCACGATCGACAACATTACGTAAGTACGTACGTACGCACTCACGTACGCAAGCCGGTATATATGCTGTGTATTGAAATCGAACTTTCATCGATTCTGAATCGGGATTCTGAATAAAATTGAGTGATAAAAAGAATTCAATTCTACTTTATGTGTTGCTCATTTTATTAAAGGATAACGAATCTAAAAAAATCCACAGAACGCAATATTTCATACATATATCGAATTGAGTGATTGCATCAATCAATACAATTTAAAAATGTAATTAACATCCTATGTAATTTAAGAGCCTGTCTTTAAATGCTTTACGAAGTTTTTGTTTGATTCCTCCGATACAAAAATACTAGGCATAAAATAAGGTTGTTAGGATTGGTTGCATAACCTAATAATTAATTGATAATATATATTTAAAAATTATTCCGAAATCCTAACTACTCAGGTGCATTTTTAAATATATTTGGAGCCCATTCAAGTGGATTCCAAATTTAGCGACAGAATTCCCAAAATCTGTGATTGATTGACGCAACAATTAGAGTATATTCAAAATATTTAAGATCTGGTCTTGATGCATCAAAAATCATATAATTCAGCTTATTAAATTTGACTTGTGTGGGTCGTTCAGATCAACCACATTAGGAGCACTACTTGTGTTCATTAGGTCCTGACGAGTTTCAAAATCGAATAGAATAAACTTTTTAACACTTATAATCATCGTTGTAAATATAATAAAAAAAAAATGGATTTTATTTTATTTGCTTTGCATTAGTAGTGGTCATCCTAGTAACCAGTGTTGTACGTTTTGACTGTCCAAAGGCTTGTCCAACGTCCAAATGTCCAAGTGTCCACAAGTGTCCAAAGCATGTCCAAACTTTAATAATTAAAAAATTTGTTTAAAAAATATATTATTATATATTTTTTTATATGCTGAACATATTTTACTTAGAAATTAATATAGGTTATCTTTAATAAAATTTTGAGTAATTTTAATTTATTTAATTGTCCAAAATTGTCCACAACTGTCCCGTGACAACACTGCTAGTAACTATAAATGTAAAAACGTTTTAATTTGCGATGCGCAGCATCATGAATAGACCTTAAAGTGAATTAAATTCCAATGCAATCTACTCGATATAATTTTAGGGTATGAGTTATTTTGACCCTAAAATCCTGTTCCCATTTACAACATGTGAATACATTAAAGAGATTCGCTGAAATTTTAGATTATCAAGAGCCAATCAAAACCCATGAATTTTTCAGCAGATTGTTCTGGAAATGTTCTAGAAACGATGTTCCTTCCTTTCCTCTTTTTGGCCCCTGAATTAATTCCTCCCCATCCAACGCTTGAAGTACCACTTTATTTATTGTTTAATATGAATCAGGCGAAGAAAGGGAAAGAGGACAGTAGCAACCTTGATCTTAAAGCCAGCATAAAAAAGCTCGACACTTTATTGGATACAGTATATATCAAAGAAAAAACTTCTGATTTATTAAGCAAATATAACTTGAATATAACTTATTAATTACTTTTTAGGTCGAAGAACTTCGTGCATCATTTATAAGTGTATGTGATTATCTAGGGGAGTTATGGAACTCAGGCCAGTTTCAAGGTTGGTAGTTTACTGAATTAGTAATTTGCTTCAAAATTTATCTAATCTGCTATTAATTCTATCTTAACTCGCAAAGATAATGCAGAAACATTGGAACGTGAAAAACGTGGAGAAAAGTTTATTACTCCGACGTTTGATGTAGACAGATTTAGTAGAATAAATGATTCGTGTTTGAATACAATGGATAAGTTTATTAACTTAATAGCGTCAAGTGGAGGTAAACAAGTCAAACTCATCATGTTTAAACTAAAACTTAACACAAATATAATCTAATTTAAAATTTTACCTTATTTGATTAAAGAGGAATTGGAATATGCTCGGAAAATTGCTTCATCTTGGACTGATAGTTCATCAGTTCCAGTAAAAAAGTACAGTTCGTTTAATTGGAACTCATCGAATTTATGTATAAAATTTACAAAATTTGAGTTTAATTATATTTAGAATATTCAATAAGGTTTTTGGCGATGAGCATTAACGGGAATTCTGGTGAAATAACAAACTATAAAGAAGATATACAAAAAAGCAGTCAACAAGCAGCAAAGTATTAATTATTTCTTAAACCAATATAATGTTAAAAGTAATATAACTTTACTAATGTATTTTATATTAGTATATACACTAAAGAGAGTGATGTATATTTTAAACGACGCAAAAAAGACGGAATTTTTGGGACTACAGAAATATATGACGCTAGGTAATCAAGAATTTTACAATCTTAATATAGTTAAAATTTTCTAATATTTTATTTATATATTAGCAAACTCAATAATGTAATTGATGATTGGTTAGCCGAAGCAAAGCAAAAACCTTACCATGTCGGCATTGAGAAAGTTGAAAGTGATTCATCGGGAAGGCCATCGGGTTTAGTGGTATAAATATTATTATTTCTTACGAACAATATTTAATTCCTTAGCATAAAATTTGAATATTTTCAACGTAACTTGTTGATCAGGTATCTGTAAACAATTTATTAAAAGTCGGGATAATACTAAAATATAACGATATTAGCGGATCATCAGTGTCATTTGTTCGATTGACTGTAATTGGGTACCATGAAAAGGTATGTTATAATACAATTTAATTATATAATACAATAAACATTGGTATTAAAATTGGTATTAAGATTGGTAATATATATATATGTTTCTTTTTTTTCAGAAATCGATCCGAGAATTTTCAGATATTCTTGTATTCCAGCGTATAACGCAAATCGGACTCGAATTATTTAATAACTTGGATCAAAGTGATCCTATACCGAAGTTGCTTGTAAGTAAATATATATATATATATATATTGAAAGTTTACATATGAGTGCTACCAAGGGAAAACCTGTCATCGGGCTTTCAATGTTCAGTTTGTTTACTGAGCGCCGTCTAGGGAAATTTTATTGTCGGGCTTTTAATTATAATTGGTAACAACTTGCCACAAAATATAATTGGAAGCCCGATGATAGATTTTCCCTAGACGACACACAGTAAACAAACTGGACATTGAAAGCCCGATGACAGGTTTTCCCTTGGCAGCACTCATATATAAATTCAAAAAAATAATAATAATAATTCATTTTATTCACAAAAAACAAAAGGATTGGATATCAAGTTTCCACGATCTATTTACATCTCCATGTCATCATTGCAAAAAATTATTGTCTTTTGATTCACATGCAAACAAATATTTGCCGCCCGTTCGTAGAGTTTTCAGCGATGGAAGTTTTTTACCTTTTCATTATCATTGCTATCGACAGTAGTAAACATTTTTTAAGCTTGAAAACGAATAAGCTGTAGCCCATGAAGAAAGCAAAACTTCTAGATCGCTCTAATTATTTTATTTTTATTAAATTTTCAAATTGTTGATATAAAGATTTTCAGATGGTAAAATAATAAATAAATGCGAAAAATTAGTTATATTGTTTATATTGCTTTTTATTATTAGTGTGATAGTGGAACACTCGCTGAACTCATGCTGACTGCAATTATGGTCAATCCACTCTAAATACATTTCAACGGGACCATAAGACTATTTTTGCAGTATATAACGATAATTAAATATATACTATATATATTAAATTTTGTTGAATCATGACTCATACCGTAACATCCCGAAATAACTCCCCAGGGTGTTATTTCGGGATGATACGGTAAAGGAATGTGTAACTGTATTTCTCTGATCGGCCAATAAAATCACAAAATCAGGCGTGAACGATTATTTAAATCTGAAAACTACGATACTGCATAAATTTTTTTATTAATAAACAAGACCCATAAACCAAAGTAACTTCGACAAATCCTCAAGACAAATGGAACATGCTATTTTGAAAAAGATTCCGTACGTAGTGAATATAAAAATGTTTTACGAAAAATAAAAAATTACAAATAATAATCTAATATTTATTATTTATTTATATTAGAAAACGTTCAATTGGGCTCATACTTATGATATTAGTGGAACCGCTGGTGAAACGGGATTTCATGTTGAAAAGATCCTTTTCAACTCCAATTCTACGTACTTGAAGATTATTTTGTTGAAAAGGGTCAGTCCTTTTCAACTCCAATTCCACGCATTTGTAAAATATTTTGTTGAAAAGGGTCAGTCCTTTTCAACTCCAATTCCACGCACTTGTAAAATATTTTGTTGAAAAGGGTCAGTCCTTTTCAACTCCAATTCCACGCACTTGAAGAATATCAGATTGAAAGGGGTAGTCCTTTTCAACTCCAATTCCATGCATTTGAAGACCATATTATGCGATGGTTCTGTGGAAGCATAAGAATAAAACGTTGGCCAGATGTATGTTGGATAAAAGATGATCCCGGAATTATTTTAGAAGAACCCAAGACGAAGCATTTAATAGAGTAAAACTTGTTTAGATAAAAAAGATAGATCTATAGATTAGCTTTGAGTAATTGGATATACATTATATGCTATGGTTGTAAAATTACCGTATTTTGCGTAGTTTTATGTAATTTGTAAATTTGAGCACCCGATATTAGTTTCTGAAATAAAAATTTGAGCTTTTGTAAAGCTAGTACTTTAAAGTTGTTAAACGAAACCTATAGGTTGTATCACTGACAAAAGACGAAACTAGGTTTTATCTTTTGTCAAACAATTTTTAAAATAATGAAATTAACAAAACTAATAAAAGATGACAAAACCAATAAAAATAAAGTCAACCTTAATTTAATACATAAACTAATTATCTAATACATCTCAGAATCAAATTTTGATCTGACTAATAAAGTAATTTTGTAGTGATTGGATCCGGGATCCGGATACTTAAACGGGATATCGGATACTATACAGATTAAAATTTTCTCTATCCGGACCCTTTTTACTCCTCTCTTGATTTATTCAATATTACTGTAAATAGATTAGATACTATGAATTAGACCCGTGTACAAACCACAGGACTTTTATTAAATAAATGCAGATGTTTTCAAAAACCTATACAAATGCAAAGTATGTATGCGCTTTATATAACTTACCTTGCTACAATATGCTATATATTATATTCCGGTCTATTATAGGTTTTTAGAATCAGTGGAATGTAAAATCAGGTCTTGTATATGACTTTTTACAGTACAACTGTTTTCGTAAATTCTAGAACATTTGGACGATTTTAACGCTCACCGGAGGTGAAATTCGCCGGGTATGTTGTTCCTCAAAAACGACCCTGATCATCGGTAAATATTTGGTATACTAAGTAAAAATGTCCAGCACTCTAAAAAACCCTAAGCTCTCTCTATCTTAATTTAACCTTAGACCCTAACCCTAAAGTTTAGCTTTTAAAATTTGTGGTAAAATTTTCTATAGATCATATAATAATAATTAAAAACATGGTAAATTTCACCTCCAGTGAATGCTAAATAAATTCAAAGTATTATCAGAGTAAAAAAACAAATAATAAAATAACAAACGAAATATATGTACGTAAATTAGTTTTTGGTATAAATATAAATGCTGTATATCAGTAATACATGTATACGATATATATTAAAAATACTACAGACTCCCTAAATGTGACTCCTAAATGCATAGTCTATAAAAAAACTCTCTAATGCATGGTCTTGTTTGGCCCAACTCATATGATACTTATAGATTTTTATCTCCCTAAATGTAATACCTCTTTAAATGCAAGATTTTCTGATTTTTTTCATATAGTATTCATTTAGCTGGCCATGTGACCACCGTACATTACGTACCTAGCTTATCGGCAACTATGATCCGGGTAAAAAAACAGAATTATTTTTATTTATAAATAACATACAAATTTTACAATTTACAAGATTTTTTTCAGATACAATCATTTATATACGATTTAATATTATTCCACAAAACAAGACCAACAATTTCATAAATTATTCATATTTTATAACTTCGATTTCCAACTTAAACGCAATCATCAGTAATGTAATAGAATATTGATATTCTTAATACAAAAAGAATAAACAGTTCAAAAAGTCCGATTTTATCCATGAACTCTACATGAATTCTACCAATCAATAATATCTCACAAGCCCATAAATCTCCCATTCAAGTCTAATTATTCGTTATATACACTTTCAAGTAAAACCGATACAATACTACATAATTACATTGTAATTTTTCCAAACACATTTTTTTGCAATAGTTTTTCTTTTTTGCATTGTTTATAAATATCATCTAATGGCCATTTCATCCAAAGAAATAAAAAAAAAAAACAAAAAAAAATCCAGCTAGGCATCAACGAATTAGCCAGGGCAGCCCCCCCAAAGTGCCAGTTACGTATCACTTCAACAATCGAGTAATACTATATATATTAAATCATCGCTTATTGTTAAATATATAGTATTATCTGATTGGTGAAAATGATTTACGTAACTGGCACTCTGGGGGGGCCGCCCTGGCTAATTCGAACTGATCACCACAAAAAAATCGATAGCACCGGAGAAATCATCACATAGAAACCAACTACAAATACTAACACACAAACATCTTCCCAAAGACTATTCCAAATCAAGTTATATCTCAATAATACCGTAAGCACATCAGAAAGTGGTGGTGGTAAATTCGCGGCTATTGTACCTAGTGCTGAGCTTCCAAATGTTCGATCCTATATTTTATGGAGTGAAATAATTTCGATAATTTAAATTCAGTAATAAATCACATGTAAAAAATGTATATACGAATGTTTAATTATACCTTTTGTAAAAATAATCGAGAAGATTGAAGGATCAGCTCAATAGTTACAAAATACCAAAACAATGACTAAAAAATAAGAGAAATTTTTTAGAAGATATAGAAAGATTAAAATTCACTAAGAATAGATATTAATAACATAATTACCAAATTTGATACACGATCTGAATCAACAATTTCATCTGGTTTTTTAGAATTCAGTATAGCTAATCGACTCCAAGTACCATCACGTCGAAACACTTCAGTTCCAATAACAAGCAAACCCAAAATAATCATTGCGAAAAAATGGATTAGTTGCCATAATTTAGATTGAACATCTAATTGTTGTTGACCAGGTGAAACTAGGTCAGGACTCATAAATGACAGAAATGGTAAAGGTGGCATAGATTGTTGCTGTTGTTGCTGGCAATAAGCATTTATCTCATCATATATCGCCAAATCCTCATGCGAAACCGAAGGTGGATAACTACCAGGAGGGTAGTCACTAGTAGTACCAATGGTTGATGCTAACGAAGTTGTACTACTATTTCCTGCACGAAAGTTTGCTAGTTCTCTCCTAAAATGTTCATCACTGTCAAAATATCCATTATTATCGTCATCACCAGTTAAGGATGGTGTATTTGGAATTACTAAAGTTGGAGTAGAAGCAGAAGGATGTTCTCGATCTTGTTGATGAAACAATTTTGGTGAATCTGAATCGTTATTAATCCTGATAAGAGGAGTGAATGATGGTCCGTCTGGTGATGGTTGTATTGTCGAATCGGAATATAAAGGTGGCGGTAAAGGTTCTATGGTAACAAACAAGTATCAAAATGTTACGGAAACACAAATATGAGTTAAAAGAATTTATATTTAAAGGTTTCAACATAGTGTTACCGAAATTTCCGGTATTTCTTCTCGAAGAAAATATACTATCTGGAGGTTCTGAGGTTATAGGTGAAGACCTTTGACTAAGTTGAGGAGATACATTCCTACTAGTTAAAGTTGAAGTCGAATCTGCGTTAAGAGAAGTCGTACTCGAGTGAGTAGCTGTGATTCGGTCTAGTCTGCCATTCGCATTAGTTAAAATTTTTTT